GCACATTTCGGCGGGAAGGAGCTGTGGCCCTGTCTCTGCTGCAGTGAACGGCACCTCGAAATGAGCGTCTGTTCACTAGCCCTGTCTCATCCAGCCAAGTTCTGGCAGGCTGCACTGCTGTTGCCTTCTCTCCCCTCCCACTGCCACTCTGGCTAACTTTTTTCACAGCTTTCTTGGTATTCCTTCCTTACCAACACTACATTTTTCACCCTTTGCTCCTCCTTCCTTCAGAATTGTTCCATTCCTGCACCTAACCTAATATGCCTCATCAAGTTGATCCACCTACTCTCCCCACACCTTATCTTAAATACTTGCCTTTTAGTTACGATCCAGGGACTAAGCTGTATTCTCACTTTTATTCTGATTTTGGCTGTGCGTTTCAATATGCCATGTAAACTTGAAGCTATCAAGAGGAGGGATGGAGAACACTCCAGATTAAGCTGTCATGGAGGTTAGAGTATTCTGCTGGGAGAGAAAACAGGCAGCCTGGCCTGCCTTTGTAGATGTTCTTAGCCTTCACTGTGGATATCCATCCAGGCACTGTAGAAATACCAACTCTTACATTTTCAGTTAAGTATTTTTGAGAATCGGGTGCTGGGAGATCTTGCTCCAGGGAAGGAAGACCAGCTGCAACACTTGGCCAATACATGCTGATAAAACATGAGAGGCACTGAAACACTTTGTTAACAAAATCTTCCAGGGTGCTATTTGCTAAATAACATGATTTGAGCCAGCCATCAGGATATGCTAACTCACCAAGGAAGCAAAGGGAAGTCAAAGCTCAAAGTTAACTGTCCAAGGAAGTTTTCACTGTTGCTTTCTGTACCACCTGGATGACTTAGTTACATGGATGCGCTTTATTTCCAAGCTAAAATACATTTGTATCATCTTTCTTCAGTCAGTCACCTGGCTTGGAAGATGTGGAAAGACCACAAACGTTTTTGAGTGAAACAGAGCTAGGACAAAACTGGTTATTCAAAGGAACGAGCCAGTGACTCCATCCTTACCTTTGTGCAGTAGCATTGCAAGCTATTTTCCATTCTAGTTAGCTTTGAAATAGTCATAATTAACAGGCACACCCATAAAATACAGTCACTATAAGCACATTGCTCCTGTGGAAGTCAGAGTTTTTGCCCGGCCAGCTTCATGTCAGGGTAGCAGCTATCATCCCCATGCCTATATTTCCAGTGACACTTTTTGTCCCACCAATTCATTTTACTGAGCATGAGGAGAGGCAGGGGGATGTGACATCTAATTAGATTTTAAGAATACTGTTACCCAGGGAAAAAACATGGGTTAAGGCAGCTTTAAAACTGGAGTAAAAGGAAACTGGGGAACCTGGAAGTAATTTATTAACTAAGTCCCTCTAACACTTGCTTAACCTTTAGTACAGTAAATCTGTCTTAACAAATATTTAAACATAACATCTTCCTAACCCCAAATCCCCAAACACTGAAACATGAGGGAAAACTGTGATTTGTTTGGGGTTTTTATAACACCCCCCACTTCAGCCCCCAAGGAGCTTTGCCCAGAAGACATGAACACCCTCCTGTCCTATCAAACTCTTCAGTCACTTCTCTGAGCAACCGTTCTCTTTCCACACTAAGATACAATGGAAAATGGGGTAATTTCAATCATGCATTACTTGCAAATGTTTAACAAAAAGACTGCTTTAGAAAAAAGCCTTAAACCTTTACTATGAATATATTATTTCTAATTGGCCATAACATCTGTGGCCTAATTGTAGCAAAAAATCTACACATTATTAGCCAGTTACTCCTTTGAAAAAAATGGACTTTGGAGACTTACTGCCTTATTTGGACTCTTTTTTAGCCTTTACTATTTTAGAGTTAGCTCTTAGCCATTTCCAAGGTAACAAGGCTTGGGCTACATAGGAAAGAGCTGTGATATGGCTAGTACAACACATGTAAATGAGACTGCAGGAACATACTTGTTTCTTCCACCTTTGAAAGATGTATGTACAGATTTCTCTGGCGAGCTGGGGCAGCTTTAAGCAGCAGTGTCCAGCGCAAGTGGCAGGTGTACTGTGCTGCAGTCAGGGCCTAGCGATCCACAGCCTGGATGGCTGAGAGTTTGAGTAGTAAAGAAAAAAAAAAAAACCCAACACCAAACCAGGCAGGAAATAATTCTTTCTGGAAATAAAAAGCAACAGAGAAGGTAACAACAAAAAAGCACGTGGGCAGGCTTCCTGCCATTTTTGTTCCTTATTATTGCCTTTCTACCCAACAACAGAACCTGGCAGCCGACATGGAATAGCTTTGTTTCAGTTTTCATTGCTTGAAGTCTCAAAATTGATACAGTAAGCCTGATGTTCAGTTCCTTCTGTTACTATATTTTACTAGTTAGAACGAAAGTAAAATGTGCTTCTTCACCATCATTCTACTGTACTAAATCTCACTGCAGGATTTCAGCTATCGAGATTCTTTCAAAGGACTGGTGTTTTTTCTAAACCAAACCCACAACATAAGGACAGCTAGCTTCCACAAACTTCGCTCTGTCCTTGTCCAGCAGTGAAAAAGACATGGTTTTGTGCATACCTTGTACTTCCTGTTGGCATTCACACAATTAAAGGAGAAAACTGCCAGCAAGCTCCGTGCTTGGAGTGCATCGTGCTTGTACCAGGCAAGGAAACTGGGTTTGGAGGACCCCTGGGTTTCCCTGAGGGAAACAAGGAGTGCACAGAACTTGCCCTGGGCACAGGTTCTGCTAATGACACACTTGTGTCCCTTGTAAATGAGCTGGTGAAGCATGAACCAAACATAACCTAAGGATAAGCTGGCAAGAGCATCCCAGCCTACCAGAGCTCATTAGTTACAGCAGTTGTCTGCCATTTATAACCACCCTTGGCTCGATGCTCTAATCACCACCACCACCCAGCATGCCAGGAGAGTCAAAATGATCATGAGGCTTTGTGAGGGTGGCTCAGCAGAAGTTCTTCCCAAATTAAGAGAAGTAACACATTTACAAATCCCCAGCTGCTGAAAGAGAGTTACTAATGCTGTTACCTACCAGCAACTTAAAGCACCAATGAATGAACAGAACTCTGTAGTAGCTGAGGAGGAATGAGACCACAGCAAACAAAACACTGCTCTCAAGTAGTGTCCTAAAAATGTTATCTTTTGAAAGACCATACAATACAAGCATACAGGTCCCATTTATTTTACTTCAATTAAATAAAAAAAAAAGTGTATTTCCCATATTACACTTTTTTCATCTGAACCAGTCCTAGTGGAAAGGAAGTATAACCCTCCCACCCCCCTTGAAATTTAAACATACCAGTCTGTGGGCTCTGGAAAAGTTTGTTTCAATGTCACTCCATTGTAGAATGAAAAGGGGCTCAGAAACAGACTCCATTGCCAGTCCACCATGACTAACTTGTTTAATCTTTCATGGTTTCCACTGCCTGAACAGCATCTAGAACTCTCTTCTGCTGGACATACATCCCGACAGTAGAAAATCCAAAGTGTGTTCTTGCCCAGTGAACACTGGCACTGCTTGTAAAGTCTGAACAGAGTGTTCTTGTCTAACGAGGTTGGCCAAGCAGTCCTGCTTTAGCTGCCAGAGCTTCGTTCTGCTGAATGTGGTACTCCTGAAATCTCATGGAGATCCTTTGTGTCATTTTTAAATACTTCTGTAGGCAGTGATCTGAGCAAGTCATCTAAAGGAAGAGGAAAACAGAAGGCTTCAAATAGTAATTAACACACTTCCCCAGACAGGACTCAAAATATAATCATATACAGGGATAAATGGATTAGGTGACTACATCTCATAGTCTGTGGTAAGCCTCAAGATGAGGGCCTAATAGTGCACAGCCCCCCAGTGCAGTGGAAAATGTGAAGTTTAGTTTTTGAGGGATGGCTGAAACCTCTTTTAATAATCATCCTCATATGAAAGTCTTCATGGAAAACATCTCAGATCTAGGAGACATTACCATTTCATCCTTGGGCTCCTCTTGTGAAATTAAAGTATACAAGGCTTTTTATTTTGCAACAAATACTAAATCTATTAAATTAGTATCATCTTTTTTAAGCTCTTTTTACAAACACATACTATTTTTGACAGCCAAATATGGTCTACTGTGTGCTAGCTTAGTTGAACCTTTTTTTGACCTTGTTCCTATTACCTCTATCAGTCGTCTTCTGCTTGCTTGGTTAATCTTCACAAAAGCAACCAGAGTACCCTCTGAAGTTCTATCAGTCAGCTGGACAGGGAAATAAATACCAGGGCCTATTCCACCAATGGTATTTTTTAAATTCAGAGGTTTCTTTTTTCCTTTCTTTAGGTGTAGAGAAAGAGTTATGAGATTATTTCTGAACAACAGTTCTACCAATTGGATATTCTTTATGATGGTTCTAAACCTTGCTGTCACTGTAAAAGTTAACAAATTTAGATAGAAAGGAAAGATGACCACTTTGCATGATTACTAGAAAACCAGAAATTGCTTTGATCCTGCTCAGTATAAAGGGATGTGAAAAGCAGAGAGGCTGAGAATGAAGAAGACAAAAAAGCCATGCAGCTGTGCACAGCACCCACCACTCACTCTCTCCTCGACCTGGCATCAGCTACAGCAAAACCTGTTAAGCAGGAGTTAAGTCTGACTCAGAAACAAATTCTGGAACTATCCCAAGCCACTTCTCCCAGAGGGCGTGGTATTTTTGATATGGTGCCCGGGGAAGTCTTGACTTGCAGTGCAGACTTGCTGTATCGAAAGAGGTCAGAACCTGTTTTTTCAAATGTAGAATATTAAGGGAGATTCATGGAGGTATTAATCTTAATTATTTAATAAGAAACTACAACTTTAAATGGGAACATAGGAATTTCCATACTGGATCAGACCAATGTCCTGTTTCCAGCAGGAGCAAGAGCTACATGCTCTGCAAGAAACCCTGTAATGGATAATTATGGACAAAACTTCCCATAAGAAAGTTTCTTCCTAACTTCCATCATTAACAGATGGCTCCTGTACTGCCGGACATGGCCCCTTTGCAGATCACAGAAGCAAAAATAAAGCGGATCAGAATCTAAGAATATTTTTTGTATTGATTCAACTCCAATGAGCATTCTTTGGTTTTGGATCTCAGGTCTTCAATGAAAGACTATATAAACCGTTATTTTAAAAGAAATTCTAGTAACATTTCGGGTAGCAGAAGAAAGAAGTATAATCCTCTGCTGGAAATCTGACTTCTGTCAGTTCTGTTAACTGACACTCCTTGTCAGTGTCAGAATTGCTCAAGCAATTCAAAATGAGTTGGCAAAAGACAGTAACAAGACCTTACCCAGAATAATTCTGACCTCCTGTGGTCAACAAAAATTCCACTAGAGCAGATGCAGAGAAGACCAGGGAAACAAGGTATCTGCCTTGGGAAGCTAAGAGAGCTTTATTTTAGCGCAGCAAAACAAAAGATGAAAGGAGTCATGATTTTTGCCTGCGCTGAGGAGTTAAACTCCAAGGAGGCAGAAAATGCTCAAAAACAATGATTAGTTTAAGACTTTAGGGTTTGGGTTTTTTATCCCTGCCAGCAGAGTCAAGCAAAGGTTATTAAGGCTTTTAACCAAAAAAATTATGAGATTCTGAAACTGCCTCTCAGCAGGAGAGGAGAGGCAAAAAACATGCAAGTAACCTTATTGAGAGCTTAATCTTTTTTGCAGATGACTATGTGATGGAGCGCCCTGCAATGCAGAGAAGTGGATTTAACAGCCAGAGCTTTGGAGGCCTATGTTTCTATGACTCACTACAATGCAGGGAATGTGGGTAGGTAA